TTGTACACGGAGATCATACCCCCCCTTATGTATTGTACATGGAGATCATACCCCCCCTTATGTATTGTACATGGAGATCATACCCCCCCTTATGTATTGTACATGGAGATCATACCCCCCCCTTATGTATTGTACATGGAGATCATACCCCCCCTTATGTATTGTACATGGAGATCATATCCCATTTAATCTCCTCTTCTTAAGAGAGAATAAATGCAGTTCTGCTGATCTCCATGCCTCTTATCAGTTTAGTTACCCTTCTCTGTACTTTCTGAAGTTCCCCAATCCAACAACCCAATGTTGGGGTGAACAAGGTGTCGGTGAATGAACAAGGTGTCGGTGAATGAACAAGGTGTCGGTGAATGAACAAGGTGTCGGTGAATGAACAAGGTGTCGGTGAATGAACAAGGTGTCGGTGAATGAACAAGGTGTCGGTGAATGAACAAGGTGTCGGTGAATGAACAAGGTGTCAGTGAATGAAAGTGTTTGTTCACCAATGCCAGAAGTGTGCCCAGCACAATAGGTGAGTTGGAAGGTTTGGTGCATGAAGAGAACTAGGATTGAATTGGTATTGCTGAATCTTGGCTTCATTCCTCACATGACTGGGCCATTCATATTCCTGGCTAGGTTCTCTTTCGGAGAGACAGGGGAATAGGAAAGGTGGTGGTGTCTGTCTCTATGTGAGAAGTGATCTCAGAGCGAGTGTGAAAGAGGACCTAGTTGATGGAGAGTGTGATGAGGCTGAAGTATTATGGGTGGAACTGCACATGGGGGGTGGTACTACAAAGGTCATCATTGGAGTTTGTTATAGGCCTCCCAGTGTTAATGAGGAGGTGGAGACTCTGCTCCTCCCACAGATGGAAAGGGCTGCAAGGGCTGGGACAGTGATAATAATGGGGGATGGTAACTACCCGGAAAGTGACTGGAGTAACAGTTAAAGAGCAAAAAAAGTATAGACCTACTACAGGACAATTTTATGATCCAGTTCATAGAGGCCCCTACTAGGAATGATGTTCTGCTGGACCTGGTCATCTCCAACCATGCAGATCTTATTATGAATGTCCATATAAAAGAACATCTGGGTAGCAGTGACCATAACATGATTTCATTTATTGTTACCTGTAAACAGCGAGCACATATGGGAAAAATTAAAATGCTCAATTTCAAGAGAGCTAATTTTCCAAGGCTGAGAGCTGCTCTCCAAACCTTAGACTGGGAAGAATATTGGCATTGATGAACACAACACAGAAATGGGAGTCCTTCAAAAAGACTGTATGTGACCACACTGCAAAATATATTCCCATGGGCAACAAGTATAAAAGGGTACAAATCCAACCTATGTGGCTTACGGCCAAAGTTACAAAAGCGATAGATAATAAGAAAAGAGCTTTTATTAAATATAACAATTAGAGATGAGCGAATTATTCAAAAATTCGATTCGGCTGATTCGCCGAATTTCAGGAAGAAATTCGATTCGATGTGAATTTATGCGCTACGAAGTTAACTTATAAAAAGGGTTTCTAGGCTTCAGAGAGCCTTTATATTAGTGCAGAACACTGTACCTTTAATTTAAATGCCCTTGGAGATGAGAAGAAGGATGAGAAGAAGATGAGAAGAAGGATGAGAAGAAGGATGAGAAGAAGGATGAGAAGAAGGAGAATTCCAAGCCGGCAAAAAGTGTATCTGCAGAGCTCCACTATTTCTTAGCGGAGCTCTGCAGATACACTTAGCGGAGCTCTGCAGATACACTTTTTGCCGGCTTGGAATTCTTCTTATTTTCATCCTACTTCTTCTTCTTCTTCATCCTCATCCTCTTCTTTCTTCTGAGGATGAAGAAGAAGTAGGATGAAAATAAGAAGAATTCCAAGCCGGCAAAAAGTGTATCTGCAGAGCTCCTCTAAGTGTATCTGCAGAATAGAGGAGCTCTGCAGATACACTTTTTGCCGGCTTGGAATTCTTCCTATTTCATCCTACTTCTTCTTCTCTTTCTTCTGAGGATGAGGAAGAAGAAGAAGTAGGATGAAAATAAGAAGAATTCCAAACCGGCAAAAAGTGTATCTGCAGAGCTCCTCTATTTCGACAGTTCTCTGACTTTCACATTTACAGCGGTTGAAACATTGTATCTGTTTTCCGAATAAAAACATCTGTATCCTAAATGGAAACAAATAGATAAATGTTTCAAACCGCTGTACATGTGAAGGAACTGTCAGAGAACTGTCAGAAATAGCGGAGCTCTCTGCAGGGACACTTTTGCCGGCCTGATCGGGAAAAATCCGATTCGCGCACCCCGAAGTAGGCTAATATTCGGATTCGACGCGAATCGAATTTTTCCTGAAATTCGAATCAAATTCCACTTCGCCTGGTTCGATTCGCTCATCTCTAATAACAATGAAGGAACGTGATCATCGTTTACACATTACAAAGAATAGAACAGAATATGCAAAAAGGAAATAAAGGCACAAAAACTGAAAACAAACGACAGAAAAAGATATCAGGACGACCCCAAAACATTCCTCCAATATATGAATAGTAGAAAGGTCCGTCCCAGCATGTAGGCCCTTTACAGAACCATCTAGAGGGGGGGGGACAAAGAGAAGGACAATGTATGAAATCCCTTCTTCAGCTCTGTGTATACAAAGGAGCATGGGGGGGCTCTTTGTCCATAATGGGGGTGGTACTGACACCCCCCAGATGATCCACATTGGCTCACAATTGATATGATCCAGAAATATTTGTACAGAATAAAGGTGAATAAAGCCCCTGGACCGGATGGCAGACACCCACGGGGCCTTAAAGAATTCAGCTCTGTCATCTCACAGCCATTGTTTCTCATTGTTAGGGACTCTTTAATGACTGGCATAGTACCACTGGATTGGTGTAAGGCCAATGTGGGGGAGCCAATATTTATAAAGGGGACAAAATCTTTCCCAAGTAATTATAGAGCTGTTAGTGTAACGTCTATAGTTGGGAAGATACTGGAGAGTTTAATAATAAAAGACCACAGAGAGGAGTTCTTGCTGGAAAAAAATATTGTAAGCCACAGACAGCATGGATTCATGAAAGACAGAAGTTGTCAAACAAATCTGATTTCTTATATGAGGAGGTGAGCAAAACCTTGGATAGAGGGGTGACGGTGGACGTTTTATACTTGGACAGAAGGGTGGACGTGGTATACTTGGACAGAGGGGTGGTAGTGGATGTGTATACTTGGACAGAGGGGTGGCTGTGGACATGGTATACTTGGCCAGAGGGGAGGCAGTGGACGTGGTATACTTGGACAGAGCGGTGGCTGTGCACGTGGTATACTTGGGACAGAGGAGTGGCAGTGGATGTGGTATACTTGGACAGAAGGGTGGCGGTGGACTTGGTATACTTGGACAGAGGGGTGGTGGGGTACGTGGTATACTTGGACAGTGGGGTGGTGGGGTACGTGGTATACTTGGACAGAGGGGTGACGGGGTACGTGGTATACTTGGACAGTGGGGTGGCGGAGTACGTGGTATACTTGGACAGAGGGGTGGCGGTGGACGTGGTATACTTGGACAGAGGGGTGGCGGTGGACGTGGTATACTTGGACAGAGGGGTGGCGGTGGACGTGGTATACTTGGACAGAGGGGTGGCGGGGTACGTGGTATACTTGGGCAGAGGGGTGGCGGGGTACGTGGTGTTCTTGGACAGTGGGGTGGCGGGGTATGTGGTATAATTGGACAGAGGGGTGGTGGCGGACATGGTATACTTGGACAGAGGGGTGGCGGTGTGGATGTGGTATAATTTGACACTGTTCCCCACACATTGCTAATGTGTAAGGTAAAGTCTATGGGCTGGAAAATCTGAATGTAAATGGATAGAAAACTGGATAAAAGATTGTATTCAATGAGTAGTGATTAATGATTCATCCTTTGAATGGTTTGGGGTCATCAGTGGTGTACCCCAAGGTTCGGTGTTATTAGTGGGGTACCCCAAGGTTCGGTGTTTATTAGTGGGGTATCCCAAGGTTCGGTCAGTGTTATTAGTGGGGTACCCAGGGTTCAGTGTTATTAGTGGGGTACCCCAGGGTTCAGAGTTATTAGTGGGGTACCCCAAGGTGTCATGGAAATTTTGTATTGTTGGTCGAACTTTAAATGTGTCATATATTCGTGTTATTCATATGTCTCTCGTGTGGCTTAATTAAAGCTCTGAAGGCTGCAATTGGGCCATGCGCATGTACAATGTATGTATTACAGTACTCAGCTTGGTAATGGATGAGATGGCAGATCTGCGCTTATAGACCGGCGTGTATACCACCACGGCATTCCATGCGAATGCTGCTGTCGTCAGTAGACCGTGGGCCTGTATCCACATATCAGCAGCATGGTACCACCACGTGGGCTTCATAACGCAATGCGCAAGCGGTGTGAACTCCACGTGTAGGCTTATGCATATCTTACAACCCATTGCTAATCTGAACTGTATCTTGGATGGATGTGTTTTAATAAAGATCGTATCGGGCCCATCCAGGTACAGACTGATATTTTTAGGGAGATGCTTGTGCAGAGAATTTTGCATACCAATAGAAGCTAGTAGGACAGGAAATATGACCTCAGATGGCTCATAGGGGGGAAGGGGGGAAGTCTGCTGACCTCAGAAGACTCATGGGGGAGGACCAGTGATAGATAATAGGAAAGGCTATGCTCCAATTGGAATGTACATCCTGTGTATAGGCAATCCCCATTGCATTGTTCGGTGTGGGAGGGGATTGACTTTATTCATGTGGGGGGCATGTGTGTATTTTTAATAAAACAGAGAGCTGAGCCTGAAATCAGCCCTTATGTGGATTGCAACCAGCCTTAGAGTGTCGTGTGATCATTCCAGGGTAACGGAGCTCCAATCACCCACAATTCAACAGAACCAAAGTATTTGGATGGGCAGGAATCGTGTAGTTTGGCTGCAGTCGTGGTAAGCGAGATTCGCACAGCTTTATGGGGGATTTCTGCGCATCCAACTGCGAGTACTCACGGTAAGGAGAAATTCGTTAAAGCGAATTTCCAAGACAAAGGGTCAGTGTTAGTGGAGTACCCTAAGGTTCAGTGTTATTAGTGGGGTACCCCAAGTTCAGTGTTATTAGTGGGGTACCCCAGGGTTCAGTCTTATTAGTGGGGTACCCCAGGGATCAGTGTTGGGACCCTTACTTATTAATATATATATAAACAATATGGGGTGTGAGATTATAAATCCCATTCCGTCTTTGCAGATGACACCAAGCTGTGCCGGGGAATAACGTCCTTACAGGATGTCTCCAACTTACAAGCCGACCTCAATGCTCTGTGTAATTGGGGGACTATGGGGCCAATGAGGGCTAATGGTGATAAATGTAAGGTTCTGCACTTGGGGGCTAAGAATATGCATGCATGCATCATACATACTGGGGGGGGGGGGTCAATGGTGGAGAAGGATCTGGGGGGGTCAATGGGGAAGGGTCTGGGGGGGGTCAATGGTGGTGAAGGGTCTGGGGGGGTCAATGGTGATGAAGGGTCTGGGGGGGTCAATGGTGGTGAAGGATCTGGGGGGGGTCAATGGTGGAGAAGGATCTGGGGGGGGTCAATGGTGGAGAAGGATCTGGGGGTTCTAGTAGATCACAAGCTTAAAAATGGCAGCAATGCAAAGCTGCGGGTTCTAAAGTGAGCAAAATCCTCTCTTGTATTAGGAGAGGTATAGACTCCAGAGAGAGATATCACCCCCCCTCCCCCGGTACAAATCATTAGTAAGACCTCATCTGGAATATGCAGTTCAGTTTTGGGCTCCAATTCACAAAAAGAACATTGGGGAACTGAAGAAAGTACAGAGAAGGGCAACCAAACTGATACGAGGCATGGAGGAGATCAGCTCTATGAGGAAAGATTAGAGGAACTGAATGTATTCTCTACTGAGAAGAGGAGATTAAGGGGGATATGATCTCCATGTATAATACATAAGGGGGGAATATGATCTCCATGTATAATACATAAGGGGGGATATGATCTCCATGTATAATACATAAGGGGGGATATGATCTCCATGTATAATACATAAGGGGGGATATGATCTCCATGTATAAACATAAGGGGGGATATGATCTCCATGTATAATACATAAGGGGGATATGATCACCATGTATAATACATAAGGGGGGGGTTGCTGGAGGAAAGTCCTGGATTCTTTCTTGGATACACAGAATATAACTGGATATAACATTTATAGGGAAAGTTGATCCAGGGAATATCTGATTGCCTCTCGGGGGGTCAGGAAGGAATCTTTTCCAGCAAAAGGCAAATTGGATCGTCGTGCTTTGCTGGGGTTTTTTTTTGCCTTCCTCTTGATCAACTGTGGATGTAAGATTATAATTTTTTTTTCTATGGTTGAACTGGATGGACTTTTTTGTCTTTTTTCAGCAAGACTACCTATGTAAATTATGGTGGTCTTCAGGATCAGTCCAGTTTTCATCTTGGTTGTTTCCTCACTCTCTGACTAAGGTCCATGAATAAAGAAATGAACCTGGTTGAGGAGATCAGAGGAGCC